GGCTTCCAAGCAGTGACTTAGTCTAGAAATTGGTCAATTTAGTGAGGCTTTGTGGGCTGATTTAATGAAGGATACGAGGGAAAAAGAGAAAATCAAGAAAGTTACGAAATTTTCTGGCTTGGGCCACTAGGTTACTGGTGATCCTGTTAATTGAAATAAGAAACATCAAAGAAGTAAAGTCAGGAATGAAAATAGAGAGTAGGAGGCATCTGGGAAACTTGCATTTAGAGATGCCTGGAAGGCAGTTTGAAAGTCAGGTTTGTGGACAGGTTTTTAAGTCAATGAGCTCTAAGGTGAGAAGGTTGGATCATAGGTGCTTTGCTGAGCACAGTGAAGCAAACACTCTAGAATCAGTGGTTCTCAACCTTCTGGCCCTTTAAATACAGTTCCTCATGTTGTGACCCAACCATAAAATTATTTTCGTTGCTACTTCATAACTGTAATGTTGCTACTGTTATGAATCGTAATGTAAATATCTGATATGCAGGATGGTCTTAGGCGACCCCTGTGCAAGGATCGTTCAACCGCCAAAGGGGTCGCGACCCACAGGTTGAGAACCGCTGCTCTAGATAGTTATTGTTTTGAGATGTCTGGTTTGCATCATACATTCAAACAGAGAAAAACACAGTTATCCCTACACAAGTAAATAACACTAATTCCTACTGAGTTGTGCAGACATTCAAGTGAGGAGTTCACTGGATTTTCAAATTCCTCATCTTTGGGGGGAATTGGTATTGTTTTGGGTTTGTCATGAATTTCTCTATTCCCAAGGCCAAATAAAAAATTTACCATTTCTTCTTCTTTACCTCTTCTTGTATCCTCATTCATTTGTCATTTCCATTTCCTATAAATTAATTAAAATCCTGATGCTGTAGATGCTGACTTCCTTTTCCTTTGGGGAACTAAGTGTGGGAATGCTAATATCTTGGTTTTTACTTTGAAACACAATATCTTATCATATTTGGTTTAAGCAATTGATGTGCTTAAATGTTAAACTCTATTTTGGATTTTTTTCTGTTTTTTTTGTGGTTTTTTTGTTTGTTTGTTTTAGATTTATCTATATTTCATCCCTTGAAGAAGCTAATACCAAATTTAAAGAAAAAGAAACCCATATTGATAACTAGATTTTTTTGGACTTGATTTTCTTTTGTACCCTTCAGAGATAGGCTAGCTAGCCTATATTTATTTATTTATTAAGATAGGCTAGCCTATATTTATTTATTTATTGTTGCTTTTTTCAGGAATGAGTGGACAGACTAATGAAGCTCTCTGTAGACCTCAGAAATTTTTTAACTACTTTTAATCACCATGTATTTTATTTTGATTTTTTTGCAAAGTCTTTTTTCTAGAAAAAATAATTTAAAAAAATCAAACTAAGAAAAATCATTGAATTCTTACCCTTTTCAGAAATTGACCACAAAGAAATTGGCATAAAATATTTAACAATGCTTTAAATATTTTGGCACTGATTTCCCAATATTATTACCGTAAAGACACAAAACAATGAAATGCTATATTTATGATATCTGCATTGTGATTGAGGAATGTTAGCAAATTGTTCTAGTGTGTGCTGTGGCACCAAAACATTTTTGTAATTTCTGGCACAACTTTTCATTTGTGGGCAGGTTCATCAACAGTAGCATTATGTTCATTTTATTTTAATATTTGAAAGGCTGCCAATCAGTATTTTTTAAAGATATAAATCTAACTTCCCTGCCCTTCCTCCCTCAGTTATTCAGCCAACCATTTATAGAACACCTAACTGCAAACTTTGCTGGTTTGGGTACAACATTTACTTCACTCAGTATCCATTAATTTTTATTTCTGACAGAATAAGCATATGGTCCTAACGCTCTATGAAATCAGACTCTTGGAACCAGACTCTGTTATAAATTTCATTGCTCGTTACCTTTATGCGATGTTACATTATATACATCACTTAGCTTGCATGAAAAGCTGCATAGATGGAACAGATATATTTTGACATTTACGTTTTACTTTATTTTTTTTATAAACATGGAATTCAAATAACCACATACATAGTTTATGGCTTTTTACACGTACTTGTATGTGTTATTGGCTACAGTGTCGTTATTCATATCCAGCGTTTTTAATGAAGACAAGGATAAAAGAATAAATGTTTCCCTTATTGTCTAATGCAGGAGATGGTGAAGTAAGAGCCAAATTCAGCCCATTGCCTGTTTTGTATGGACCAATTGCTAAGAATGTTTTTTACATTTTTTGATGTTTGACAAAAGATTCCAAAGAAGAAGAATACTTTGTTTCATGTAGAATTCATATAAAATTCAAATTTCAGAATCCATTAGTCAAGTTTTACCCATTCATTTATATATTATCTATGGGTGCTTTCATGTTATAACAGCAACGTTGAGTGTTGCAAGGGATATCCCATAGCCTAAAATATTGACTGTCTGTCTTTTTAAAGAAAATGTTTGCTGACCCCTGGTCTAATGCATAGCTGGCTTTTTAAAAAATCCTAAATATCAAGAAGTTTATGCAATCAAACTAATACTATAATTGTTGTTTTTTCTTTTCTCTAAAAATGATCCAAGAAGTTTATGCAATCAAACTAATACTATAATTGTTTTTTCTTTTCTCTAAAAATGATACAGGGAGCTTATCCATTTCATCTTGTTTTATGTTGAGTTACAGGAGGCTTGTCTATTCTGTGTTCTTCTGATTAAGGGAGAAGTTTACCCAGAGAATGAGTGGTGGGTTTCAAATAAATTCCCTTTCCTCCATCTCCCATCATTATAAACATATTTAATTTGTTTTAATGAAGGTAATTGCACAGTAGGAATAACTCTGAACTAGAAGGCAAAATGTCTCTAGGTTTAAAATGTAATCATTATCTTGTTTTCTAGACTGACGTTAAATAAATAAGGAGTTGAAGTAACTGTGAAAGGAGATGACAGGGCCCACTAAGACGGGCTCCTTGGGTCTTTGATGTGCCTACATTTTCTTTAGAGATGGAGGATAATTACACTGAAAGGTGATATCTTATGACAGACTGCTGTGCATAGTAAACTGCTACATCGGTTTACCAGAGATGACTGTCAGAGTGAATGTAGCATTTATTTCTAGGAGAAAAACTTAGCTGTCTTCTTTGAAAATAAATTCTTTTGCTGGCTCCCTTACCCTAAATTTTCCCCTCTTTCATGTTTTGTGTTGGAAAAAAAAATCAAAATCGGTTGACTTTTAAAATACATTTGGTGCAAGGTGTGAACAAACTTTAAGACAATATTGAAAGATTTTCTGTGAAGTTATGTTTCTTCGGTATTTTATTTTTTCCAGAAACAAGATCAAGGTTCTCTGTTTATCCTTAAATCTTTTAAACAATTTTTAAAAGTTATGGGTTTTTCAGGTTATATTCCAAAATATGTAATGGAAATAATGTATTTCATTTGCTTCAAATAATTTCTGAAAGACGCTGAGAAATTCATTCATTAATGCCTCTAAGAATTATTCAGTACCTACGGTATGCCAGGCACTGTTCCTGACACTGAGATATACCAGTGAACCAAACAGAACCAAATGAGATTTTTTACCCTTGAGGAGTTGACATTCTAACAGGAGGGAATAGATAAGAACCAATGCACATAATAAATGAGTAAATGGCATAGCACACTAAAGGGGATCAGTGAAATGGAAACAATTCAGGGCAGAGGGAGGGAGACTGGGAATATTAGGGTTTTGGTTTAAGAAAGTCAGTGAAGGCCTCATTGACAAGATGATGCATAAGTGAAGAGCTGAGCAACTAGAGTCATTAGGCATATAGATATGCAAGGGAAGAGCATTTTAGGAAGAAGGGATAGTGAGAGCGAGGACCCTAAGGTGACAGAAAGTTGACCTGTGCATGAAACACCAAGGAGGTGTCATGGCCATACTGGAGTGAAGGAGAGGAGGAGGAGTGGAAAAGGCATCGGAGAAGTAATGGGGCCTTATAAGGCACGTGAGGATATTTCATTCTTATGGGTATGGAGAACCATCTTGGGACATTTTGCTGGGGAGTGATATGATTCAATTGACTTATTAAAAGGTCTACTTGGCTGCTTTGTTGTAGGGGAGCCAGACAGGACAGGGAAAATATTATTGAGGATATTGCAGTAATTCAGGTGAAAGATGATTGTGCCTTGGACAAGGAACAGTCATGAAGGTGGTGAGAGTGGGTGTATTTTGGTCGTATTTGAAGGCAAAATGTGTAGGATTTCCTGAAAGATTGGATGTGGGAGAGAAAAAAAAGGAGTTTTTTGTTTGTTTGTTTTGTTTTGCTTTTTACTCCAAATTGTTTTTTTTATGTTTTTATTTAAGAAATGTTATAAAACTGGAAAACTGCCATCAGTCAAGAATGGAGAGGTCTACAGGTGGGACAGATTTTGGGAGGATGATCAAATGGTCAACTTTGGGTATCCTGAGTTTAAAATATTTATTAAAATAAAATAAACTCAGTACGATCCCAATTGGTACTTTCCCAGTGTTTGCTTCATGGAAGATGTTAAAAATATTGTATAAATATTATATATGCTACTATAATATGCACAAATTAATGAATGAACATTCATTGAGCCGTACTTTCCCAGTGTTTGCTTCATGGAAGATGTTAAAAAATATTGTATAAATATTATATATGCTACTATAACATGTACAAATTAATGAATGAACATTCATTGAGCCACTGGTACTTAATGAGTGGCAGGCATCATGCTGTGCACCATCACATAAGGGTCTAACCAAATCTTGTTAGAACCCCAAAAGGTAAATGCTATTGTCTACATTTTATAGAAGAAGAAACTCAGAACAAGTAATGAGTAATTTACCTGAAGTTCACATGGTTAGCAAGTTGCTTTAGGTTTAAGATTCAAACTCATACTTTACAACTTCAAATATAGCCTCTTTTTTTCTTAGTGACCTCACCAAAGAAATAGTAGTGGTATACACAATAAGCTGCCATCTGTTTAAAATCTGATTTTTGTCTTCAGATTATAATACAAGTGAACAAAAACAAGCCTGTAAGAAGCATGAGCTCTATGTGAGTTTCCGGGATCTGGGATGGCAGGTAAGAATGATCAAGCAATTCAAGTGTTCTTTTCTGCTTTATGATAAATCCTGAGTTCCTTGTAACCTTTGTCAATGATTTTTCCAATACAGTAATCAATTATTTTAACCAGACTATTCAGTAAATGGATTATTCACATTATTTTATCCATTATTCTTTCTGCATAAAAACATAATTATTAGGTTTTATAGTAAAAATAAAAAAACTATGTTGAAGAAATGATATTTGTAATATTTAGAAAGTGAAAAGGGGTGTTATTCTTTAAGTATTTCAAACTTTTGATTTTAATACTATTTTTTTCAGATTAACTCAAGCAATTCTCTTTGTCCCCAATAGTCCCAAACTATCAGTCTAAGAAACAGACAGAATTCTTGACTTTATTGTCTCTGTCATTTAAAAAAATTTTTTCAGATAAAGTTGTTTTTCTGCACTTCAAACTTATTGCTGTCTTTCACATATGCTTCATAAACATATAATTAACTTCATCAACAGGGCGAGGAGGAGAATTTAACCAATACAGTTTTTAATAATTCTATGTAATAATCATTTAAATTGAAGTTTTTTAGATTATATTATCCTATTACAATGATTCTCAGAATATGAGCTATCTTATTGAGAATTAATATTAAAGTATAAACATTTTCAAATTTTATATTTGGGCCAATTTTTACCTCTCTGGGAAAAAAATAGAGCAATTATAACATATGCCAATTTTTTAGCTTCCTAAAAATTTTCATGTGCAGTTTTTGGAAGTTGCTTCAATTCATTTCTTCTAAAGAGTCTATAAAGCTAATGTACAAATGAAAATAAAAACAGTACAAGAAACAAATATTAAAGTTTTTGGAGGTTGTCAAGTTTCAAAACCAGGAATGAGTTATTAAGAAGTAATGAGAATTATCTCAGGTTTATTTTTTATTTTTTTGGTCTGGTTCACTTGAACTTTCCAGAGTTCATCATTTCCTGTTTAAAGGATATTTAGAATATTATTTCATGATTATGGTTTTATTCATGAATGCATAGATTTATTTATACATACTATGAATATTGTACATAGCAACCTCTTGGGAGAAATTACAGAGGACATTTTCTTGTGAAAATATTTATATATATTTTTGTGAACGTCAACTTAAAAATAAATCAAGGGCTTGGGGGAGGCTATCCTATTAGACTAATTGTTGGACCAAGAAGAGAAACAAACCTATCCAGATTTATATATATTTGAGTATTTTTAAGAATTATATTTTTATATTACTTTTTTCTCCTTTTTTGTGCATTTTAGGACTGGATAATAGCACCAGAAGGATATGCTGCATTTTATTGTGATGGAGAATGTTCTTTTCCACTCAATGCCCATATGAATGCTACCAACCATGCCATAGTTCAAACTCTGGTATGCTTTGTTTTTGTAGGATTGAAACTGGTTTAAGATGAAAACTTCATATAAAGTTATTTTAACAGAAAGCATCCATTGGTAGTTACCAATGCATTATCTTCTCTTCTCAAACTCGTTTGGCACTTTTTAGAGCCAAAGTAACAAATTATGGGTATAGTCAGGATATTCAGGCTGGTTTAGAGATTAATCCTGATTCCATATTGGGGAGGGATTCAGATAGGAGAGTTGTCGTAATTACATTATGTGTTCATTCTGCGATTGCTTCACTATGCAACATGACTAACCACACAGGTTCCCAGTGACTTATTTCTAACCTAACAATTCATTAGTAATCATTGCAAAAACATTGAATAATAGCTGTAGTGAATTTCATCTAAGGGCTTTTACTCTAACTATTTAAGGGTGCTCCATAACACACTGTGACAATATGAAAGTTCTTTAATATAGAATATAAGTACAAGATACATTTCTATTTCTTAATACCTTTTTTTACCTTTAAGGTGAAAAATAATCTTCATTTTTTCCCCTTCCAGACTCAGGAAATCAAATAGTGACTTAATCTGTAATAGCCTAGGCTTATTTTTGTGGAAAAGATAGTGAGTTGTTGATTTCATGGTCTTTAAATGGTTGTACTGTATTAAATGAGTTCATGAAACCTCCTAAGAGTCTGGCGTACCTGCATTATGGCAGAGGGTCAAACTCCGGAAGACTAAGTGACAGGCTCCTAGAAGGTACAATAGATTATGTGGTATTATTATTCCAAATTAATGTGTGGGGTTAATATGAAAATTGTAATTAGGAAAGAAGAAAGGAAAAAAGTATTTTAGACTCCAGACTTACTGATGGGAATGGGGTTATTTGGTGAATGGCAGTAAGAGAGCACTAGCTATTGGTCAAAAAAATAAAAACAAGTAAAATAATCTATCTTAGTGGATGAGGCTTGTTTATGACGAAAAAAAGAGTAACTATTAGAATTTGTGAGGAGTTGACTCTTCAGGAGGTTACCTTTTTTTTTTTCTTCAAAATTAATGGAAAATTGAAAGCTGAAGAAAAGAGTATCTTAGCTTCCTTCTGAATAAGGAATGGGCTATATAGATTGATAGATTAAATTCTTGAATGCCCATTATGCTGGTGTCTTCATTGACTTCTGATGTACTACCAAATAGCTAGATACCAAAGACACATCTATGACAACTAGAGCTTGGGCATGGGCAAAAATTTTGGGGGAAGAAATGTGATGTAAGAGAAGCAGAGAGATAAAACAAATATGTATTTTGAAAGGTAGTCATTTATACATTTTCTTCTTTTTCTGAGTCTTGACCAATGAGATTGCCTACTTCCATACCATATACAAAGTATAGAGAAAATTCCTGGAGGAATTTTAAGGTTTGATATGCCTTCATCTTTGCTATCTGTACAAATAAGTAGTTCATGATACAGGGCAACTTTTCTGGGGGGTCTGGAGCAGGTATGCTCTGCAAAGGATGAATGTTTGTATTCAAACTTCCACTGGTAAAAAAAAAATAAATGCTATGAAGTCTAGCCTTTTAGCCATGTCTATGAGAATTCACGTTGACTGAGAGCTGACCATACAGAGAACAGTGCTGCTGTTTCATGCCTTGAAGGGATAGCCATGATCACTGTCTTTCTGTAATGTCACAGAGGGCAGCCACTACCAGCTTATAAAAAATGCCGCTTAATTTCTCAGAAACTTCTTTGCCTCTTTTTACTCTCATTCCAATGACTCAGAAAGTAGACTTTTGCTTCCTGAGATACGTATCTAACGTATCAACATTTCCCTCAAGCAAAGCAATGCTTAATAATGGAAAAAACTGTCAAATACAACCCTTTCTCTCATTTCCCTTTTTCTCCTTATAAATATACTAGAGATCCAATGAATGAAATTCGTGCAAGAGTAGGCCTTCACAGCCCCTGCTGCCTTGGCCGCCCTCGCAGCCCCGGCTTCGTCTAGAAGGTCGTCCAGGTGGTCGTTCTGCTGTTCGGTCGTTCGGTCGATTTGCGTATTATGCTTTTATTATTATAGATATTTACATATTGTCAGCTTTTGGGGCAATAGGGTAGAAGGCAGTGTTGAAAAACAAACATTAAAAAAAATCTTTGGCTCAGTGGATAGAGCGTTGGCCTGCGGACTCAAGGGTCCCAGGTTCGATTCTGGTCAAGGGTATGTACCTTGGTTGCGGGCACATCCCCAGTGGGGAGTGTGCAGGAGGCAGCTGATCGATGTTTCTCTCTCATCGATGTTTCTAACTCTCTATCTCTCTCCCTTCCTCTCTGTAAAAAATCAATAAAATATATTTTTTAAAAAAATCTGATGTGCACTTGGAACAAGATCCCGCTCTGCACCAACTGTCCTGGGATGTGGGACATAAGTCATCACAAAACTTGAAGCCTCCATGGGAAGTTTTATTTTTTCCCCCCTGGCATTGTGCACTCTCTCTGTTTGTTCTGTGAAGGACATGAAACAAGAAGACAGGCATGTTTGTTGTTAAAGGAGAGCATGTTTGTGACTAACATGTTTGAGAAACCATTCAAGAACAATCCTTTTTTTTTTTTAAGCAAATGCTCCGTGAGGCTGCCAAGCTCCATTGAAACAGGGTGATCAATCACGTATGTGCATGTTACGGAAGATAAAACTGATGAGGGACACAAGCTGCATCTGAAATTTGTAGAAACTATCCAACTTTTAGTTTTGTGAGGTCTTAGGAAATTTCAAGTTCATGTCAGATCACCTCATTTTTTCTGCTGTTTCTGTCCATACGCGGGGCTCTTATATCATTTCAGCCAGGACATTGTACAGCCAAACTCTAGGAGGCTATATTTGCTTTTTGTAGATCCCTCAGGACTCATCAGTGGGACTTCCCATAAACCCCTCTAGGGAAGGACTAGGGTAGATGGGTGGGAACAGGGGGACCAGGTCCTGGCTCAGACCATAGGCAGACTGCCAGTCTGATCAAAATGAGAATAAACCCTTTATTTAAGCATTTCACTTTCCATGTTCAGCCACCTTTTTTAGGCTTTTGGGGGGATGGAGATTCAATTCGTAAAATATCTAGGCTCTTTACTTCTGATTTAGCTTAGCCTGCTTTTTAGAGGTTGTCTAAGGGAGAAAGAAAGTAAAAGGATATTAAACTCTACCCAATCTGCTAAAAAATTATGTGAAGAGTTGAAATCATTGCTGTAAACTTTAAAACAAATATTGGATTATACCTGGAGTTTATTTTGCTGTTATATTTAAGTTTCCTTTACAATGGAAAATGAAGAGCTGGCATAATTTTGATGACTTATTGTTTAATTATCCTTTTGAAATAATTCTTAGATCTGAATCTTCCTACAGTCCAATTGTGTGGCTTTACTGATTTGCATTTATAACTTCTGTATGTCTCAGGAAGTAAATAGAAGTCGTTTTAACCAAAAGCAACTAAGTACTAGTTGCCATGTTCTTTTTCCCAGGAAAATTTTCACTGGTTTCTCCATATAAGGTATTTTCCTTAGCTGTTTGAACATTTTTCAAGATCCCAACACATAATTAGAACTACTGGGTTGATTCTAGGTGTTAATGCTTAAGAACACATCCTTTATTGCCAGCCACCCCAGCTACTGAACACAAAGAGAATAGTGGAGGGTGTGCTTGATGGTGAGTGATAAGACAAGCATACCATTTTAAAGCTGCAGACAAAATATTTACCTTATTTCTTAAAGAAACAAAACATTTTTTCTTTCCCAGGTTCATCTGATGTTTCCTGACCACGTACCAAAGCCTTGTTGTGCTCCAACCAAATTAAACGCCATCTCTGTGCTATACTTTGACGACAGCTCCAATGTCATTTTGAAAAAATACAGAAACATGGTAGTGCGCTCCTGTGGCTGCCACTAATATTAAATAATAATGGAAATAAGAAAAAGATCTGTATTAAGGTTTATGGCTACAATAAAAAGTATACTTTCAGACAAAAGGAGAATTCTGTAAAATTAGTCTGGCTCATTTCATCTCTACCTATGTACAATATCATGTATATAGTCACTTTTATTTATTTAAAGGTATATATTCTCCTTTATGGATGCCTTATCAATAAAATCTATTTTATAGGTCACTACATTAAACAATAGATTGCCCAATCTAACTTTCAATGAGGTATGTTAAGTCCAATTCAATTCCATGTCAACATTTTTTCCTAATACAATTTTTAATATATCTTTTGAAATAAGAACTCCTTTTACTGTTAAATATCGATGAAAGAAACTGAATGCACATGGTTATGTTGCTCCAATAAAAACTATGCTAGGATATTTATTTAGAAGTAAAACTTTAAAAAATAACAACCCAAACAAAAATGCTTAGATAAACACAATTTTTCTTTTAGAGTTTCTACTGCATCCAATAAAGTGAAATGTTGAACTGGATTTGAATAAATAAATGGTAGGCAGAATATAGAACCTGAAAGATTGCACATAATTGTTGTAACTGTTTGCTTTCACAGAATTGGTGTAACTGTAGGAGCATGTTCCTTGTTGGCTTGTGAATTGCAGATTTTGCAAAGAGCTCAAAGCTTCAGGAACTCTGTGGAGACAGGCTTGAGCCTGTGTCCATGACTTTCCAAGTTAACACTAAAAAATGGCAGTACAACCTTCTTACCTCAAATAAATCCTGTCTGCCTATTATCTAGAACACTACTGCTGCAGATTTTTTTTTCTGGTTGAAAAGGAGTCCAAAATAAAGAAAACTTTAGATGTGCTCCCCTTCCCTCCCCACAGACAAGAGTCACTGCATGCATAAAATATACTGGAGCAAGATGCCGACAGAGCCATTTTCTTTAGCGCTCCTTCATAACTGAGTCCGTTGATGGATGTGATGCAAGGGATTTTATTTAGGGTAAAAGCACTGAAACTAAACTGGAGGAAATTACCCAAAATCCCAGAATGGCTTTGACAGAATTGCCATTTCAAAAGAACAGCTGAAATCCATTTTTCATATCTTTGAGAATGAGCTCAATGAAAACCTTATTTTGTAAAGGGATTTTGTAAACCCTCCTCCAAGCACAAATAATTCCAAACGGGAAGGTTCTGTTGTGTGTATGTGCATGTGTGTTCTTCCCTCTGAAATTAATTTATTTTCTCTCTCTGCCTTCTAAGGCTTTTCTTTAACACACACTGATTTCTTAAAGAATGACATTTAGATGGATAACTTGCCATTTATGGTGGCTCCACAGCTAGGCCTATTTATAGTTCATCTAGAATATTCATAAAGCACCATTTATTAATCACTCTTTTGGATCTTTCAAATAAAAATAGTAATAGCTTAAAAATGTTATGGGTTTGTTTGTAATTCAGGTATGTTGTAATGTTGTTTTAAAATACAGTTTATCTTAAAGATTTGATAATAACTATATTGGAGGTACATTAAATAATATATTTTTGAATTAATGGCATACCATTGTAAGAATAAGAAACGGAAGTCTATTATATTATTCTTTAAATGTGCTGTTTAAATATATTTCTATATTTTAAAATATATTAAACTTGTTATGCTAGTTTCTATTGTGCTTCTTGGTTTGACTCTTTATTTGAAGGATGCAACATGTAAGTATGTCACAAACTGAGACTTTAAGAATATCAGATATAAAAGGTATGTGAATTACATGATTCTTTATGTTTTTTTAATTGCCAAAACTAGTTTTTGTGTTAATAAATAACTCACTGCTAAATAAAGCAAAATTCGATAAATATTTTCTTAATTTGTTTAAACAAAGAAACTTTTAAATAGCAAAAATGATTAGAATAGGAAAATATCTCACTTATTCTCTTTCATTTAAGAAGGGAGATTATTGGTATCAGTATTTTCATATTTTTTCAAATGATATCTATATATGTGTATACATATCCTATATAATAAAAGGCTTACATGCAAATTGTCCCTATGGGTGAGAATTTCGACCCACCAGGAGTTAGATGTGCGCTAACCACCAGGGGGTGGCACGGAACATGGCTGGCGTCAGCCACACGGCGCTGGCTGTGGGCGGCAGTGGAGGCACTGCCGGCCCCCATGGGTCCCAATGAGAGTGGCACCGTGACAGGATGGTGGAGCAGGTGAGCAGGTAGCACCAGGCCAAGGCAGGTGTGAAGGGAGGCCCCGGCTGGCAGCTGGAGGACGGGAGGCCCCGGCCGGCAGCTGGCAGCCACTAGGGACCCTACCCGTGCATGAATTTCATGCACTGGGCCTCTAGTATACACATGTTCAGTCACATATTCTCAAATAACTGTTATCATAACTTCTTAGTATTACTTCGGCTGTATTCTGATTACTGAAAGTCAAAAGAGCTTGGCTTAGTTTATTAGGATCCAATCTACTAAAGTCTTTTTAGCTAGTTATATATTGACTTGTTTGTTGTGTATTTGTTTTTAATTTTTCTGCTTTACATACTTTTGCTTTATAATGTGTCCCTAATCCTTTTTGAAAATAGAAGAGTATAAATCACAAATATTCAAATTCTTTAAAAGTAAGGCAAAAAGAAATGTTTACATTGAACAAAATTATAAGAAAAACACAAGAAAGAAAATTCTAAAGTATTTTTTATCTCATTTTATAATCCCTGTATCACTATCATCGAATCTGAGCCAAAGTCTACTGGCTACTATACAGTCTGGCAAATATTATCTCCCAAGACATTCACAATGAATAATTAGCTCATGCTGCAGCTCCATTCAAGGCAGAAGAAATCCTCATTCTCAAACACAAGTCACCATCTTATAACCATTCAGTCAAGTGCTCAATTTATCATCCAATTTCCATCTCAGATTACCTCCTCTTCTATGTTTTCTCTTTGCATTTTTTTGGCTTCAAACTTTTTAAAGTTACAAGTGAAGAAGGCTTTGCCGATAAAGAGTATACATTGCTAAGTATATATCTATACATCTGTATTTTATCAAGTTTGGTTAAGATCATAATTGAAGAAAAAGTAGGAAAAGGAATAGATGCCAGTATTTATTCTTATTTAGGCAGGAAAATGATACTATATCCAAGTTAGTAATATAAAAAGAGCAAAGGTTTTATAAAAATTACTTCAGTCAGTTGTAATATTTGTTAAAGACTTTTTGAAAGATGGGGATTTCAAAGACAGGAGAAACCAGATTAGATATAGCCATTAGAAATGACAAAGAAATTTTAGAAATTTAAAAACTTGCACTTTCACCTTTGCATCTTAGTTTCAATTTGACAGAGCTAGGTAACCCAGCTAGCCTCAAGGTCAATGCATGTACACCAAGCATGTCAAACTCAAAGGCTAACATGGGCCAAATAAACAAGGTTTAATTTTAGGGGGGCCCCCAAAAAACAAAAGGTTCAATTTTCATAGAAACATAGGTTTATTTCGATATAGACATGCTGAATACAAAGGGCTGAAATAAATGAGTCATCATTAACATAAAAGAATAGAACATTTTAATAAAAATTAATATTTTTGCTTGAACATCCACTTACCAGTCACTGCATAACTGCACAAGTTAATTAGCGTAACGCAAATAAACCTATTTTTTTTTGTTCTCTGAAAGCAAAATATTTCCTGTCTGTACACTAAACAAGTCAGTCCAAGACTAATGACGGGGCAATCGGCTGCTAGAATATTCCCTGCTAGTATTAGTGGAGAGAAATGGTGCGCCTGCGCGTAAGGCGCATAACGGAAATGAATGCAACACAATTATAGTAATCAGTCATTAGCAAATGTTGTAGCTCGTTATTAATAATTATGTATAACATAATATTGTAAAAATTAAGTTATGAAATTTTTATTAAAATGTTTCTTACATATCGTTATATTGGCTGGGCCGCAAAAATATTCATTGTGGGCCACATGCAGCCTTTGACATGCTTGATGTACACAATGGGAAAAGGACAGGTAGATGTACTACAGCTCAAATTTTGCAATCTATAGATAGGAAGATAAGAGAGGTAATACTGCATAAACAGCCTTAAGACTTAACCAGTGTCAAAACTGGACCTAAACTGATGGTGTAGTAGGGTGTGGCTACTACTACCTGATGAAATATAATAGAACCTACTGAAAAAGCTGGACTGTGTTTATTGTCCTGCGGGTACCTATAGTAAAAAGCCCAAACAGGAAAATAATCCTCTACCTTGAACCACAAGGCAATTAAGATGTCTTGGATTATATATCTTTACTCTCTCTTTAATGAAACACTCCTCCCCCCACACACACACATATATATAGGGTGTTCCCACAAAATATATATACACTTTAACAGCTGATAGCTGTAGATTCTATTACATTTTGAAAATGAAATGCATTTTAATAAACACTACCTTTATAGTCCTGATGGGGTATCGAACCATGACCTCCTCATTCATAGGTCCACGCTCAACCACTGAGCCATGCCAGCCGGGCCAGGCAGCAGCATTTAATGAATGCAAATATATACTGTCCTCTGGACCTCAAGCCTAAAAGCCCACTGGCCCGAAGACCAGGCAATGTGGTGGTGTCCTCTGACAGCAGCCGCAAAAATCAGGGCATCAGGCAAAACTATAAGGTCCTTTCTGGAAGATACCAGCGAGATGGAAAGAGGCAGGAGAGCTCATAGATCAGGCTCCCACACGTGTGCTACACCCGAAGCCTGCTCCTCAGGCCAAAGCTCCTGGACAAGATAGAAGCCTTTTTCTCAGAAAGACTAAGGGTTTGTTTTGGTCTGTGATCTGTGCAGTGCTGGGGGGATGGGGAGGGGGAGGAGGGAGAGGTGACAGTCTGCCAAGAACAGATTCTCCAACTGTTACAATCCCATGGGACCCAAGAATGCAGGTTCCCCTGGCCGCCAGAGGCAGGTGATCTAGGGGTGTCGGCTGGGAGGCACCACCAGAAATCCAGGTCTCCTGCCATGAACACGGGGGCAGCAACCCTGCATGGAAGTTCCCCTCTGGGCGATGGGGCCTCTGGAGAAGCCGTGACAGCGCCCGTG